GTGAGTTCGGGTTGTTACATTCTGTAAGGCGCCTGGGCAGGTGGCTTCGCACCCACCAACTCAATCTCATGGTCCACAATGCGTCTAGTCGGGAGTCAACTTGGCATATCTTGTGGCATGACGTCTTCAAACTCTTTTAGCATCTCTTTCACGGGTGCAGGAATGGGAACCAAAGAGTGTTCTATATCTTCAATACAGAGGGTATCCATGAACGTAGGTTCATATTTTTTGACTCCCTTCTTCAATTGCAGGAACGAGATGTTCTCAGCAGCCATCTTTATGGTTGTGCATGGGATAATGCAGGACTTGGCCCGTTTGCTCCCATCATCAGTAGCATATCGGCATAAGTTACAAGAATGGTGTTGGTTTGCCTCATGAATTCTAACCTAACTATCAGCTCGAAGTTATCTATGATCACCATGCGCAAGATAAATTTTCCTTCATAAGGACCAAGCTTCACGGGCACTCTTTTGGCTATTCCACCAACTAGTTGAGGCGCGCGTTGATAGCCTTGACGCGGCTTCTACCCTTTCCCATAACTAGACCAAGGCTCTCTACCTGAATTGAGGCCAAGTAGTTGTGAGTAGAGCCCGTGTCTATCATCGCCAGAATGGGCTTTCCATTAGCTTTAATCTCGACGAACATCAAGGTCTTATCTTGGTTAAGAGGAGGCCCCTCATCCGCCTTCTTTTTTCCTTTCTTGGTGATTGAGCATGGGTCTTTCTTCTTACGGATACCAGCACTGGTTTGCGCTAAGGCCTCATAAATAGAACAAAAAAGTGCATTGAAGGCACCTATTGGTTATATATGGTCAACATCACCTATGTCATCATCCGTCCCATCATCAAAAGTTTGATGGGTGATCATCTATGCGTATGGGCATTCATTGTGGCCCGTCGCAATGACGGCATCCTGAAAGGGGCTTCGCTCCTCGATCATTGTTGTGAGACACAGCACTATTGCTGCCTGAGGAAGGCGTCTTAGATTTGGCTGCAACCCGATCTCCTCCACTTCTACCAGGGCCACCATTACTAGGATGCCCCTCTTAGTATCCTCCACAGACATGCGGTTGAGGCTTATCCTTCCGAGCTTCCACCGATAGTCCTCAAGGCATTCCGCTGCTTTGATCGCCTTGGGTAAAGTGTCTAACCTTTGTCTTTGCAGCTCCATACAGGCATAAGGTTTCAATCCTTCTAGGAACGTGAAGAGTTTTTATTTGTCCCCTATATCTCGTATGTTCAGCATGAGCGAGGAGAATTCTCGCACGTAATCCCACACTTACTTGGTCTAGCTGAGCTCTTGTAGCTTTCTCCGTGCGTTGTACTCAACCTTTTTGGGGAAAAACTATAGACATATGGCTGCCTTCATTTTTTCCATGTTTCGAGAGTATTTTCACCAACCCTGATGGCTTCGTATTTCACTCGCCACCACAGTTTAGCATCACCCTGAAGATATATGGCAGCAGTTGCTACCTTTTTCTTCTTCTTACTCCCCTACGACATCGAAGTATTGTTCGATGTCGAAGATGGAGTTCTTCACTTCCTTGGCATTCTGAGCTCCATTGTATGGTTCTGGCTCAGGAATCTTCAGCTTTTGTGGCACAGGGGTGAGGTCCACAGCACCCCCGATCTGCTTTCCGCTTCCTCGAAGTAAGCCTTGTAGTGTAGAATTGACAACCTTGAGCTGGCTTGTCAATTTGTTTATGGTTTGCTGCATGGCAGTTACCGTATCTGCCTCTTGTGCCCTATAGGCTAAATCCTCAGTCTGCTCCTATTGGAAGCCCTCGAACTTACCAAAAATTTCAGCTGCCTCTCTGGCTATCGTTTGGTGGTCTCCTTCAAAGTCGTGACTAATGTTCGCAATGTCACGTTCGGCCTGTCGCATCTTGCGGTCCAAGTCGTCCCAACCTTTTCACTAGGATGGTTCTTAGATCAGGCACCGTATTCATGATAGGTCGTAATATGTTAGCCATAGCTTCAAGGACCACAATGTGATCCCCATGATTTACCATGGTCAGAAATAGTGATAATGGCAATGTGTTCCCTCGTTCGGTGTCGAGCCTAGGCTTTGATACCAATTGTTACGCGGCGCCTTCCTCAGATTCCTTGGAAGAGTGACGACGTAAGGCTAAGCAACCGATGTCCGTGCAGTTACTATCCGCCAACTAGGGTCCCTTCTGTACGCTAGATGAGATTGTCAGTGCCGCACGAAAAAATCAATGTCAAAAGCAATTGAGAGAACAGAAAAGAAAATTGAGAATGAAAGAAAGTTTGATTATATTAATGAAAGTTATTACAGAAAAGCAACACAGTGTCGAAGGGGAGAGACACCAGTACAGAGAATTGTTTGCTTGCTTGATCCCCCTAATAATACTTAAAAAAAATTAAACTAAAGTTATATGACTTGATCTAACTAAGCTAGAGAGACATAATGGAAATACAGGAAATAAAACTACTCTTTATTTACAATGAAAAGGACTTAGATTCCTACAAGGCAAAAGCATGCCCGTTGGCAGCAACCTTGTCTTTAGCATCAGAATCTGTGCGCGCTACACTGTCTGCGTGCGGGGTGCTCACGAGGGCTATTGGTGAGGCAACATAGGCACAGGCGCGCTTGTTACTTTGTGCGGCCAAGACCATGGAGCCGTCCATGGCGCTAGGCGTTGGGAGGTTTGACAGGACGCCATGGGGCGCGTCCAAGGGATATATA